CTGGCAAACAGCTGCCCACCAACCACCCTGCACCCACAAGAGGGGCTGGAAGCCTTTGTTCAGAAAATCCAGGCCGGACTTTCTGGTTTACCCGGGTGACTTTTTTTTTTTTTTTTTTTTTTTTTTTAAAATTCCCCGGGGCTTTTTTTTTTTTTTTTTTTTTTTTTTTTGTGCCAGGAATTCCTCTCCCACGTGGGGTGGACTCCCAGGTACTCAATTAAGCAACCAATGAAAAGTCAGCTCTCTGGTAGCAAATGACCCTGACACTTCTTGTAACATAAACAGTTGAAACCTTTCCAATAGAATTGGAGACAGAGATGTTTGAACTCTTTCTCTCCACTTCCCTCCTTCTTTAAAAATAAATGTCAAAAGCTTTGGACAGGGAGTTGTATACATTTTTTTTAAATTTCATTTTCTCTTTCTCAAGCATAAAAAAATTATTTTTCTCCTTGTTTTTCCTGATTTGTGGTGTGGTGTGGAAGTAGGGGTAGAGCGGTGGAGAGCTTAAAGGGGTGCTGGCCTGGTTACCTCGCAGCTCTTCCTCCTCAGGCTCGGGGCTCAGGCAGCTCTGGAGAGCTGGAATTGACAGTGGGTGTGAAGCGACTGGGAGCCAAGGGCTGGTAGTGAATGGATGGATGGATGGATGGATGGATGGATGGATGGATGGATGAATACGAATGCATGAACAAGTGCCTACCTTTCAGCAAATGCTCCCGCAGATCCAGTTCGAGCAAGCAAATGGGAAGCTGAGGTTGGCTGTCCTAGGCTGTCCTGGATTAGAAACCTGACACTCCTGCCCCGCATAGGGCAAATTATTGAGCTTTTCCGGCCCTTTTTACTCTGTGAAATGAGGCTACCAGCCAGGCCACTTCCCTCAGGAGAGCGGTGAGGAGAGCGTTCTCGCCTGGGTAGCAGCGCCCTGCCTTGTACATAATAAGCACTCCGGCGCAGTTCTCATTCCTAACTGCCAGGCCACATCCATCACACGCTGCCACAGGCTCTACTGAAGTGCCCGGCCAGGAGCTGGCGCTGGGGCTCACAGTTGAACTCGATGGGAGTCTACCCTGCAGTACGCTCGGGTCGTGGGGTCCCCAGGAGTATGGATGTCGGGGTAGGAGCGACGCCCAAGCCCGAAACGAAGCTGCTGTGCTCTTATGTCCACAGTCCGCGTAGACCCGGCCTGGAGCCTGAGCTCGTGGGCCCACTTGGGGCGGGCGCCGTCGGAGCCAGTCCAGATTGAGACCGAAAGAGGGAGGCTCGAAGAGGCGCCGAGTCCTGGCATCTTGAAGGCATTGTGCTTAATAAATCCGGGCTAGACGCACACCCGCTCTCCCCCTTCTCCTCTCGTCTCCCAAATCCAGACCTGCTGTGGGATCCCCAGTTTATGGGGTCTTAAAACCCCCCTCTACTTTGATTAGCAGCTTCAAAGGGATCGCTTTAAAGTTCGCCCCCTCCTCGCCCCACCCCTTTTACAGGCCACCCTTCCCCCATCACTCCTTCTAGACTTCAGGACAACAACAAAACAATTAACACAAGTTTAAGGGGGGTGGGGTGGGGGGGGTGAGAGAGCAATCTTGCACACAGGCGTAGAAATTACCTGTTTCAGGCGTGTGTAGAAGTCGGGGAACCGTGGAGTTTGGATGCTTTTCTTTTTTCTCTTTCTATTTTTTTTTTGGGGGGGGTTGTGTGTGTGTGTTTTACCTTTTATTATTTAAATTGATACGTTTCATTACTAGGGAGAAAAATAAAATATTCCTTTGATACACAAAATCAAATTGATATTTAGCCTCTGCTTACTTTTTTATGCATGGCTCCTTTATACCACATGGTAGTGACAGATTGTTTGAGCTGGAAGGAAAAGCCATTCAAAGCTAATTAAGCAGCCATTCCAAGCACTATTTGCAAGCGGGAGGCTCAGAAGCCTCCGCATTTGTCAGCGCTCCCCAACCCCGCGTGGTTTTGACTGACAGCTCTGGCGCGGACTGACAGCTCCCGGAAGCTCCACCAATCATTAACGGAGAGTCCCCCTAGCGGTCTCTGATTGGCCTTTCTGACCTTGCTCAGGGGTGGGACTGGCGGTCCCCACGTGGGCGCAGGAGCGAGAACGGGGCGGGGCGGGTAGGAAGCGGGTGCGCCCACCCGTGACGTAAGGGGGAGGGCAGAGAAGGGGAGGGGAAAAGAAAGCTCCAAAGAGGAGCCATTTTGTGTCTAAATGAATACTGCGGAGAGATGCTGCTCGCATCTGTCGAGCTTGGCTTCTCCCCACCCTACCCCCTTCGTTGCGCGCCGCACACGATTTATGTTTTTATTTAAGAAAATAAATAAATGAAGAGAGGAGCCGCGGCTAGGGCGGGCGGCCGGCGCCTGGGCGCGGGGAAGTTGAGCTCCGAGGCGGGCGCTCACGTGTAACTCCGCGGGCCTTCCAGCGCCGGCTCGCTAGCAGCTACTCATTAAGATGCGCCGGCGAACGCGGCTCCTAATGAGGGGAAAATATAGATCGGGGGGCGGGGGCCGGGCTCGCGCGCGCCCGCGCGGGTT